AGAACACCTTTACTTGGCTGTCCTATGACAAACTCAACACAGACAAACCAGGACGTGTCTTCTCTGCCTTCCAACCAACAACTGCTCCTTAATGGTACCAGTGGGGAACAAATTGACCATCCAATGGCCGACGCAGAAGGGAAAGTCCCATTGATGACATCTCCCCCACCCACTGTCCCCTGATCCTGCTCCTTTGACCTCCCAAGCGCTCTGACTCTGGCCAATCGCTGACCCTTCAAAGGCCCATGTCTGTGGGCAAAATTTTCACCAACTATAATGGGCTCATAGGAAATCTTCCTGTCTTCTGCCTACCAATATCCTACCAATCTTTCTTCCATTCTGTCATCAGAGACCCCTTCTAAATCACAGAACTGAACAAGCCATTGTGCTGCATGAGAACTGCCTATGGCTCCCAATTTTCAGTGGTAAAGTTGAAACTCCTTAGTGGTTTTTTTTTTTTTTTTTTTTGAGACGGAGTTTCGCTCTTGTTACCCAGGCTGGAGTGCAACGGCGCGATCTCGGCTCACCGCAACCTCTGCCTCCTGGGTTCAGGCAATTCTCCTGCCTCAGCCTCCTGAGTCGCTGGGATTACAGGCACGCGCCACCATGCCCAGCTAATGTTTTGTATTTTTAATAGAGACGGGGTTTCACCATGCTGACCAGGATGGTCTCGATCTCTTGACCTCGTGATCCACCTGCCTCGGCCTCCCAAAGTGCTGGGATTACAGGCGTGAGCCACCGCGCCCGGCCACTCCTTAGTGTTAAAGGGTTTCATCCCCATCTTTGTCTTCTTCTCTACCCACTTTTAATGAACCAGATTAATATCACTTCCTTAGTGAAATGGCCTCCAAAGAATTAAAATCAGTCACAATTAAAATATCACAAAGGCATTTTGTTTATATCTCTTATTATAGTGATTATATTAAAATGTATTTTTAAAATGTCTTTAAGATGTTCTGTGGCTTTCCAGTGGAATTTATATGCTGAAGAATATATTTTAGTCAGCCTATCTTCCCATCGCCTAACAGTGTCTGCACACAGGAGGTGCTTAATAAATGTTTGTTGAGTGAATAGATGAAGTAATGAATTTTACATGGCATCACCTAAGACAATGCAGTGCTAGATGGATACTTTTATTAAAAACCTAGTATATGCCAAGATGCTATGTGAGGCTCTATGAGGGGATGAAAGGGATAGATAGCATTCCCTACTCACAAAAGCTTTTATAATCTCTATAAGAAATAGTATAGATTATCATAGAAGAAATAATGTTATAATACTTTTAATCTGAAGATATTAATGGATTGAATTACCTTAGTAGATATACTAAAGCTGAACTATCCTTGCATTCCTCAGTTAAGTATAATTCGGTCAGAAAGTATTTTTAATATATGTACCGGATAGGGTTTGTAAAATGTTACTTAGGATTTTTGTCCATAACTGAAACTAGTCTGCAGGATGTGTTTTGCGCATGCTCATTTTCTCATTTTACTAGCTCCTCCCACCCCTCCCCTTTCTTTTTTCCTCGGGAACTCTTTGTCTCTCATATGTTAGATAAAATTCACCAGCTAAGTCATTTGAGTCTGATGATCTTTTTGTGAGTAAATATTAAAAGTTACTCTTAAAAATTTAATATCTTTCTATAGTTATATTTAAATTTTCCTATTTCACCTTGAACCAGTGTTAACAATTTTACATTTCCAAGAAAATGGTTAGCATTGTCCAAAACATTCTTGTGATTTAATAAAATCTCTGAATGACAATACTTAGATCCCTCTTTGCATTCTTATTTACTTGAGAATTCTTTCTTTCTTGATTAATTTTATAAAAGCATTGTCCATTTTGTGAATATTCTCAAAGCACCAGCTTTTGGTTTCATTCATCTTCTCTCTTAGTTTTTTCTTTGCTTGTTTGGTCTTTCTTTTCATTAATGTCTGCTCATTTGAAAAATCTTCATTTCTGAGAGCAGTTTATTTAAGTCTCCCACTCTGTGAATGTGTCCAGACATTTTCAGTGACTTGCTTTATGAATTATCAACTTTACATCTAGAGACTTTTGAGGAAGAATTGCAAAATGCTATGTCAGTATTGGAAGCTTTTTTGCTCAACTTGCTGGGAACCAAACAAAGCTTTAACCCACAATGCCTAATCTTGAACGCTTTTTTGTTTTGTTTTGGATTTTAAGAAATCCTTTAATTAGGAGCTAGGCTAAAGCTTAGTTCTAGATGAATCTATAATTAGATTTAAAAGTTATAGCTGGATTCTGTCATTTATTGCTTTATATATTTTGAGACAATTTTGCTGGTATATACAGTTTCAAAATTATTTTACCATCCTTTTAAATTGCCCTTTTTTTTTTTTTTTTTGCCTTGAAGTCTAGCTTCTCTGATGATACTGCTACAGCAGGTTTTTTGTTTTTTTTTGGATTAAGATTTGTCTACTACGCCTTTTTCCATTCCTTTCCTTTGTTTTCACATTATTATACGTTTTGGGTGTGAATCTTGTAAAAATGATGTAGCTGGATTTTATTTTAAATTCTAAGCAGATTATCTGTTTTTATTTTCATAAAGAGATTCCATCTACTTACATATAAAGAGATTAATATGTTGACTCATTTTTATCTTATTATGTTGTGTTTTCCTGTTCTTTAAATAGTTACACTTAAAATTGCAGGACACACTCTTATCAAAATCTAAAGTTAATCAGCATGTCTATTATTCTCTAGTACAACACAAATTCTTAAAAAATTTTAAATCTATTAGCTCATTTTGTTTTAAACCACCCAAATTTGGTCACTTGTAACAGTTACTTTAAGGAGCTTATTTAAATTTATTCACATGAATTATTTTGCTTACTAGTGCCTTTGACTCCCTGTCCTTGCTGCTGGTAATCAGTTTCCTTCCTACTGAGCTATTCTTTGTTAATTACCCTTTGGTAGATACCTTTGTTAGAATCTGAGGGTAGTAAATTCTCTCATCTTTGTATGAAAATATCTATTTCACTTTTATTCTTATAAAATAATGAATCTAGGATTGAGACTAACAATAATTTCCCCTTAGCTCTCAAGTTTCATAATTGCAAAGTTACTAATGAAGAGTTTGTTGTTGGTTTGGTTGTCATTGTTTTGTACAAATCTCTCTTTTGCCACAAGTGCTTTTAAGAGTTCATCTTTGGTGTTCTGCAATTTCATCATAATCTGCCCTGGAGTGTGTCGTATTTAGTTATTCTTCCAGCTTGACTTGGTGGATTTTCTTCAAGGCTCAGGTCTTTCCTCAATTCAGGGACAGGCTCGTCACACTCTGTTTAAACACTGCTTGCATCCTGTGTGTGTGTTTAAATTTTATGTATTTTCATTGTGGAATTTCTATTAGACCCACTCTGTTCTCTCTAAATTTCTTTTCTCTGATTTTCCTTTTATCTCGAGGTCCTAATTCTTGTTCCTCTTGTCTGCTTGATACTTGAATACAATGGCTTTTTGCATTATGTGGCTTGTAATTTTGATTTGGGGCTCATCTTTAACATTTTCATTCCTTTTTCTTCCACGTGGGCATCTCCTGTTATTTGGGTTATAGAACTATTCCTACAGAACAGTTTTGGGTTGGGCTTCTGCCTGGGCCCATGGGAGTTTCACTGATGTGGGACCAGCTTTGAGGTCAATATCTTGACTGGGATTTCCATCCCCATGCTGGTATTAAAAATTTGGACACAGGCCCAGACTATTCCCAACATCCACACATGAGACTAAGTGGGGTTTCAATGCCTTCATTTTTTATGAAATCTTTTTCCAATCCAGGACACCTGGCAGACAATTCTTCCCTCCAGCCCCCATCTCTGGATTGGAAGAGGGCTTTTTGTCTCTTTTTCACAGAGAAAAGCAGCTCTCCTGGGAATCTGGCTTTTGTGGGATTCTCCGCTTCAGACAGTTACTTCTCTTTTCCCAAACCCAAGCACCAGGCCCTCTTTCTGGGTCTTGAATAGCCCTGTGGGTCTTTGGAGAGCCATTTGGTGAGCCCCAACTCACCCGCCAGTGCTCAGGAGTAACATCCCCTCTTTGTTTCTGCTTCTTGGGAATTTCACTCTCTCTCTTTTGAGCTTGCCCAGGCATTAGCAACAATTCTTAAATGTTTATATTTTATCCAGGATTTCCGTGTGTTTTCTTTGGGCTGGGAGAGCTACAGCAGCTCATTCCACCAAGTCCCTGGAAGGCTGCAGGTAACAGCTTGTAAGTGCCAAATGTCCAACAAGTGATAAAGAAAAGCGTTGGCGTCATGCAGGGAAGGGAGGAATCACTGCAGACAATAATGCCTACCTGACAAGCTTCAACGATAAGGACAAAGCCTGCCTGTAGCTCATCCTTTTTAAAATAAATACCCACTGCTTTTTAAAACAAGTAACCTTCCTCCTTCCCAGAGGGCATTCACATATGGGACAGATCACAACGAGTGCACAGCAAACATTTGTTAAAGCAACAAATAAAGTGAGCATTTTGTCCAGGACACGGCTAAAAGTTCAGATACCAGAAACGTGGCCTGAAAGGTGATCAATGTCATGTTACAGTAACTTCCATGATATAGAATCATTTCCATATTGTGGATATATTCAGAGTGGGCTAAGCAGAATCAGTTTTCTTTTAAAGATCTTTAAGGTACCTCAGAGTTTAATATGGCAAAGTTCAGTCCAGGCATGGCTGCCTTCCAAGCCACCTCTAACTGGCTAGGTTTTCTAAAAAGGATTTGCCCAAATGAGCATCCATAGTCCCTGGAAGGTGGTTTCAAGGTCAGCCCTGCCATAAAGCCATTCTGCAAGGGCTGTTGGTGCACACACCTGGTCAAGGCTGGTGTTTTTGGAGTTACAGTGGAATGCCTACCACTAAGGGGGACACAGGCGCATCTTGGGGCCTATGTTAAGAATCTAGGCATGTGATGTTGCTCCAAATAAAATGGCTACAAAGTTTAAGCACAGATCCAGTGGTGCAAGATTATGGTGATGTGCCAGAATTACCGTGTAATTTCGAGTGAGGGAGACATCAGTACCATCTTGCAGATAGTGGGTTTCTGTGAAGCTGCTGGCAATCAGGCCTCTGTGGAAAAACAAAAACAACATAAAAAGATGAGTACAGAATTGCACTGTGTTGGGAATGTCTAGGCTTTCGGGTAGCAAGACTGTGATCTCTTTTTTTCTTTTTTTTTTTTTTTTTTTTTTTTTCAGATAATCCAAGCAGGCTCCGATTTGGACCTTCCTGGTTTAAGTTAGGTTCTCCAGGCAGAATTCAGAGGAGACTCAGACAACAGAGTCAGGTGTGTGTTCTTGGAACAACCGCCCACACAGTCAGTGCAGAGCCCGCCCTCTGTCCCTCCCTCCCACCTCATTCCTTCATGCGTACACCTGGGCGGACACACTTGCACATGCACGTGTGCGTACACACACACATACTCTTCCATGAATAGTACAGGCAGATTTCTAATTTGGGCAAATCTCCCACCTGGAAGTCACAGGCCCTGCCAGCTGGAATCAATGGCTGAGCCACCTGCTGGGAAAATCATTCTGATCCATGGCAGTGCCCCTCCCGCTCCCCCGCAGGTGAGAGAACCAGCTGACAATATTGAAATGTCACAGAAGAGATTAGAACAGCAATGAAATGTTAAAAGCAGCGATGTATGTATGAAGTGAGGAAAAATGATTTTGCACACCCTGAAATATTGAATTTCTAAGATAAATGGAAATGTGCAGGAAACCCCCTGTTTATCCTGACTATTAATAAAACTGTATGCAGTCTACCTGAACTTCATTAGAGATTTCAAGGCATGGGTTACTTAGGTTTTAAGTTATTTTCCAGTGTTTTACATAACACACACTATTTCCTGTGGAAGTATTTCCTGTGTGAATACCACTGCCAGGTGCTGACTGCCAGGATACAAAGACAAGTAGGAGCAGCCCCCTCTCGATCACACCATGGGCTGGTAGGGCCATGGGTGACACAGAATCCAAGGTGAAGGGAGCAATCGCAGAGTAGAAACAGAGTCCTTCTGAGGCAGGAGAATCGGGTCTGGAGGCAGGAGACATAGGGCCGATTCATGCTGACTTCCTAGAACTAAATCTAGCGGAAGCACTTCAGCTATGACAGGAAATATCCTCTCCATTTACTTAGGGCATACACCGAATAAATGACCTTGTAACTTTACTTCACCCTCTTCATTGCCATAGGGCATACACCAAGTAACCAATGGAAACCTCTAGAGGGTATTTAAACCCCAGTAAATTCTGTAACGAGGCTCTTGGGCACCTATGCTCAGGCCTGTTCTCACCCTGTGGAGTGTAATTTCATTTTCAATAAATCTCTGCTTTCGTTGCTTTGTTCTTTCCTTACTTTGTTTGTTCATTTCCTCTAATTCTTTGTTTGAAACACCAAGAACCTGGACACCCTCCAGCTGTAACTTCTGGGGGCATGCATGTGCCGCAGGTGGGGAAGGCTTTGCAGAGGGAGCCGACAGCGACTGGGCTTTAGTGGATGGAGTGGGAGCCGTCCGGGCCCAGGAGCAGGTGGAAGGGGAAGGGAAATCCAGGCAGATAATGTCAAGGTCAAGGTCTGAAAGGCCTGCAGTCTGGGGAGCTGAGCTGGTGGAAGACAGAGAAAGGCTCTAAACAGAACCTGGGTTTTCTGTGTCTGGACAACAGGGAGTCAAGAGTCGAATTAAATACTGAACTTTGTGGATAGGGAAGGTGCTGCCTGACCTCTCCCGTCTTCAGGGAACACGCTTCACAGTTTGTTTCTGTGGGGGTTCCTCCACTCCTGATCTGGGGATGAACACGTGACCCAAGCTAAGTGCATCATGAATCTTCCCTACAGCATGTTGAGCTGGGACATCTGCGGATGAGGGCTTTCTTCTTTGTTCTCAAGGCTCTAAGGATGTGGCCACAGAGCTCCCTCCACCCTGGTCCCTTACTTCAGGAGAATGCTGGTCAGAGAGAACAAAGCTATCACCCTCAGGCAGGGACAAAAGGCAGAGAGAGGGAGATGGGCCCTTTGCCCCAGGGCCTGCTCTGCCTCTCCTCTTCCTCGTAAGTTCCTCTCTTCTGCTTCCACAGCTTGGTGCTGGCATTTGCAACCAGAGTCCTGCTCAGTACGACAGGGAAGGAAAAGAAGTGGGAATGATGCAAACGTCAGAGATGAGAAGCACTTTCCTTACACGGTCAGAGTTCCCCAGACTCCTCCCAGCCAAGTTCAGAACTGAGAGTCAACTCCTTGTTTTACATGGATTGTAATATATTGAGGATATGCCTGGCTTAAATCAGTTAGACCCTGATGGCAGGTCTCTGCTGCAGTCTACTTAACAGCGAGTGTTTGAGAGGGTATGCGGCAAACATAAAACACAGACGTGCCCTCACACTCACTGGCATAGGCCTGTGGGTCTCCCGAGGGCTGCCCTTGCTCTTCTCAGCAGTGCACCTGTCGTGCCAGAGAAGGCTTCCTTCCTTGGCAGCACTGGGCTCTCAGACCCCCATCTTCTAAGCTCACCTCCTCTGAGCTGCCGGAGGGGCTGCCTGAGCAGGCTCATTCACAGCACACCCCAGCCCAATCATACAGCCAGGAGCAAAGGAGGGAAAGTTGGCAGGGAGAGCAGGCAAGGCAGTGGGAGGGAGACAAGGCCCTGAAGAGAGGAGTCTGAAGAAGGGGTGGTCCTTGTCCCCAGGCGGAGGCTGGCAGCCTCGACAGTCAAGCTGCAGCCTGTGAGCCCAGGAGAAGGCAAAGGCAAGGTGAATGAATCCTTCACAGTACAGTTCCACAGTTCCAAAGGGAAGCAGAGAGGTGGGACGTGAAATCCAGGGATGGCGACTTGAGGGGAATAACTGGAAGGCTGCGCTGAGAGGGGACATAGGCAAAGCTGCAGAAGAGCAGGCAGAAAGATGCAGAGAGCACAGAAGGATACCCACAACACGGGACAATGTGTACAGCACAGGGAAATGCATAGAGCACGGGAGGATGCAGGATGCACAGAGCATGGGAGGATGCATGGAGCATGGGGGATGCACTGAGCACGGGGGATGCACAGAGCATGGGGGGGGATGCACAGAGCACGGGGGATGCACAGAGCA